ACTTTAATATCATCCAAGAAAAGCAAATGTTGTAGTGGACGCGTTGAGTAGGAAGCGTCATCGTGGACTTGCAGCTTTGAGATGTTCATTAAATCAAGACCTTTATACCCTTAGCCACTATGATTTTAGGCTAGAGATTGGTAGGAGCCGCTCATTCCTAGGAGCCTTATCAGTGCATCCATCTTGGATCGATAGAGTGGTCATAGCTCATCTAGAGGATTCTTGGATTCAAATCCGAAAGGGAGAGATCTCGAAAAAACCCAAGGCTGATTAGACTATTGGAGTAGATGGAGGTCTTCGGATGAAGGGTCCCTTAGTCATGCCAAATAATCCATAGCTAAAGAGTAAACTTTTTAACGAGACGCATCGTACCAGGTATACAGTGCATCCAGGAAAGACGAAAATGTACAAGGACCTGAAGAAGAATTTCTAGTGGAGTGGCATGCATAGAGAGATTACAGAGTATGTGGCTAAGTATTTTACGTGTCAGCAAGTTAAGACAGAACATCAGAGACCTATAAGAACCATATAGCCTTTACCCATTCCCGAGTGGAAGTTGACAGATATTTCTATGGATTTCATCGTAGGGTTGCCTAAATTAAAAAAAGGAAATAATTCTATTTGGGTGATAGTAGACCGGTTGACGAAGTCGGCGCACTTCTTACTTGTGAAGACGACTTATACAACAGAGACATATGTGAGGATTTTCATCCGGGAGATAGTTCGATTGCATGGAGTGCTAGAGATGATTGTATCAGATCGAGACTCATCTTCACATCCTATTTCTGGAGGAGTTTCCAGAATGCATTCGGCAACCAGTTGTCATTTAGTAGCGTTTTCCACCCTCAGACGGATGGTCAAACAAAGAGAATGAATCAGGTGTTACAGGATATGCTGTGAGCATGCATTATAGATTTCTAAGGTAGATGGGAGGATCACATCCAATTGATTGAATTTGCTTATAATAATAGTTATCAAGCTACCATTGGTATGGCACCATATGAAGCATTGTATGGGAGACCTTGCAGATCGCCTATTTGTTGGGCAGAGCCAGAGGATAGACTATTGTTTGGGCCGGAGCTTGTAAGACAAACCACAGAGAAGGTGGCATTAATTAGAGAGTGTATTCTTGCCGCTCAGAGTCGGTAAAAAAGCTATGTGGATCAGAGATGACGACCTCTAGAGTTTTAGGTTGGAGACCTTGTCATTTAAAAGTATCGTCGATGAAGGGCGTTCACTAATTCAGTAGACGAGAAAAGCTTGCCTCGAGATATGTTGGTCCATTCAGAATTATCGAGCGTGTTGGAGTTGTTTCTTATAGATTAGATCTTCTAGCATCGATGTCGAGTGTACACGATGTCTTTCATATTTCGATGCTCAAGAAGCATTTGTGTGACGAGGAGCAACAGAGGGTGATTGATGCATCAGAGATCGAGATCCAGGATGATTTGATTACCATAGAGATTCTGGTATGCATTCTTGCTAGAGAGAATAAAAATCTTAGAAACAAAGTTATTCCATTAGTGAAAGTTTAGTGGAACCGACAAGGAGCCGAAGAAGCCTCTTGGGAGCGCGAGGAGGATGTACGTCACGACTACCCACACCTGTTTGAACAGGTAAGAATTGTTGATATTTGAATATGCTTATATGCATTTGCATCTATGTCTATATATATTGTCTAGCCACATTTATATTTAATGCTAGAATGAGTAACTCAACACTTAGCTCCTAATCATTCGGAACATATGGTATATACATGGGTGGTTCTTATTTGGATTTTTCGCTAACGTACTAGTTCCGTCTAATTAGATAACTTTGTTTTGGGTAGTTTTACCAGAAATCGTCTTCATCTACGTCCCATTTCTCAAGAACTCCCTTGTCTAACTATCATGACTGACTTTTTACTCCTATTTGCAAAATATAATTTCTATGATACTCTTTTTTAGATAACTTAAAAAAAGGGCAGTCCATACTTTTGACTCTACTATTATCGTCATTTATGAGAATTTTCAGTAGCGCCGAGGATTTAGTATAATTTTAAAAATTCAAGGAGGTTTTCTATGATTTATAAACTTCATCGGCTTTTATACAAAATCGCCCCAAGTTCAGGAGAGTTTTGTGAAATTTATCCTAAAATCTTTATTGTTTATAACCATATTCACTTGTTGATCACATGTGAAAAATGAACACGTCTCTGATATTTATTGCACATGTAGATGCATGCAACCAAATTAATTTACTGGAATAATGCCACAGGCTGATACGTGAGTTTGCTATGAATGCACATATTTGATAACGCAAACACTCAGAAGCCGGCCTATGGAAGAGATGCCAGGAGAAAACTTCCTCTTTACAGTTCAAATCCATTAGGTTGCTCTTAAGGCGAACTTCGTCCTCCCACCAGCACACCCACCCACCCACCCAAAAATGGAAAAAAAAAGAACACACACAAAAAAAAAAAAGAAAAAAGCAAAAGAAAAGTTTCGAGGGTTCCTTTGTTACCCCCTAATTTTACCACCAAATCCCCTCTAAATTTAAATTTTGGGTGTCTCACAAAATACCCAAAACTAATGGATTAGAGAAACCCTCTAAATAACTAAAATGTTTAGAAAAACCCTCTAATAGGACTGAGAGGTGTGTTATGTTTGTAAATGACAAATGACTAACTTGAGCATTTTTCTCTTGGAGAACATTTTAGTTATTAGTCATTTACAAGTAGGGAGCTTATCAGGAATTTCTGAAAGATTTTTGGGGGCGAGTCATTCACACACACACAAAGCATTTTCTCGGATGTGCCCATGTGGTGTGGGGATTGTGAAATTTACCCTTGTTTTTTATTAAAAAAAACCAACACTACGTAATTTAACAAAGAAAAAAAATTTAATTTCGGACCGAAAGTCATTGGACCAATTAAGAGATATGTGATGCGTCTCTTGACTAAAATACCAATAAAATGACACATGGAATCTTGTACTATAGTTGGTTCTATAATTTTTTTTTAAAGGTCAGAAAAGGAAGTATATCTATACTACTTATAAAAGAGGATTGGGCGTTAAAACTTTTGATTGCCTCCTTTACCCTTATAAAATTTGATAATTCACAATAATGCCTTAAAATTTATTCAATTCATTCTATTTATTACACTATAATTATTCTTAAAATAAATATGAAAACTAATACTAAGAACTAAATATATATTATAAATTTTAATAGTAAACTTTATTCAATTCATTCTATTTATTACACTATAATTATTCTTACACTAAACTAAGAACTGATATATTATAAATTTTACCAATATTAGTGTTATGTTTAATAAGATAAATATTTCACTTTAGATATTAGATATTATGCAGTAGATATATAATTATAATACATAAGATAATAATATCATAACTTATATTTATAAATTATACCATAATTTATGATAATTAAATATTTAATTAAACATCTAACATCTAATCTGATACTATAATATATTGATATGTGCATCTGATGTGTAAAAAATCCATGGAGAGGAATACCAATATAAATGTTAACCTCTTGGTGTATTCCAGAAATATCATATAAATTATCATAATATACATTACTAACTATTGCGATATACTTATCATAGTATTTGGATACGAGGTAATTCTAAGCATGTAGAATTCTAAGTAGTGTGGGAAGCTATTACATTTGCTCTTGACATTGGATGGGAAAAGATGATTTTTGAAGAAGATGAGGATGCTGTAATTAGAAATATCCATAATGGTGTGGAGCATAACTCAATTTTTGGACACTTTGTGATATTCAACGATGTTGCACATGATTCAAGGAATGAGATTTTTAGATAGTTCGTCAATGGAGAATATAACGGCTCATGTGTTGGTCCGAAGAGCTAAGAAAATTAATGATTTTGTGGTATTGCTCGAAGACTCACCATCATTTTCACACAATGTTTTACAATCTAATCAAGAGCAGTGTTAATCCTCATTATTTTGCCGTGCTTCTGGGTTTTCAGATTACTTTTGATGTATCTTAATATTTTTTTTGAAAAAACTATTTACAATACAATAATTGAATCCTAGTTAATAAAATAATTTATGGCATCTCCTCTTCTAAACCTAGAAATAGCTCATTTAATATGAATTTTAGTGAGAAAATAAATCTATAATTAAAGGATTCATGTATATTCTCTTACTGACTAATCAAATTCTCTTCATTAATTATGCACTAATAATTTTACGACTTGTCTACTTTCATAAACATTCCACTTAGACAAGACTTGCATAAAGATATGCTATATATGGATTCTCAAATGCACAAAAGGAAACACTAAAAGAGTCAAAAGAAAAAGAATGGAGGAAGAGAGAATTTTAGCAATGGAGTCCGTCCCTCAATTATAGTAACCATGATATCTTGCAGTCAATAAGATTTTACAAGCGATAATTAAGAGAGAAAATTGTATTGTTTTTTAGGAAACTAATAGATCTGCAACCGGTTTCACCTCTAATTCATGAAAAAAATTTCAATTAGTTATACATGTATGCAATTTCGTGTAGAGAAAAAACTAATATAAATACCGATAAATCCATGGCGAGTGGGTGGCTGGAGGCTCTATTTGAGTCATCTTCGTTGTTCTTAAAAAAAAGTCATGGGAGTGCCGATAAATCCATGGTCAGTGGGTGGCTGGAGGCTCTCTTTGAGTCCTCTTCGTTGTTCTTTAAAAAAAATCATGGGCGAGTGCAATGTAAAATGACCTTCAAATATTTTAGTCTCATGTCATTACTTAATATGCATCGCGTGCAAAACACACACGTGTTGAATACTGGTTTACAAATACGAAGTTTTGGGACCTAATGTATGGATTTTTTAGGGTCTAACATGAGAAGGGGGAAAAAACAAATGAAATAAAGGGCCGCTGGAAAAATTCCACGTGGCGTGCTAGACTTCTGGGCCAATTAAAATCCCACACTCAAAAGAGTTTGAAATGATACGCTTGAAAGCTTTGAAGGCCACAGCCACAAAAATATGTAAAGCCCAGTTCCCAGGTTTTTCACGCAAATAATTAAAAGGGAACAAAATGGGTTCTCTTTATCTATCGAGAAAGGGAGCTGGGTTCATCTAACTGAAGACAAAGGTAAGAATTATATACTTATCATCTATTTTTATTTGAGTTTAGTTTTAATTGAAGTTTAGATACACAAAATTAAATAGTTGTGAGGTTCTTTAACTTATTTATTCAATCAGTTTTGAGTTGATATGATCACTCTAAAGTGAAGCATTCGCACGTGTGCTAGGGTTTCATGTTCACAATTCAACAATGATTCTTTTTGCCTAGGTTCCCTCAATATCTATAAGACAATCCCATTGGTGACTATTGAAACTTGTGATAAATTTCAAACCTAAAGGGAGAAATTGGGGTTAATAATTAGAGGTTAACGAGAATCACATGTCATATGAGGGGATTCTCTCGATGGGGTGCATTTCTCCTCCCTTGTTACTTGGTTGAGATGCACCACATCATTGTCGTATGAGCGAATCCCTTGTACGACAAGGATGCCCATTATTCTCCAATAATTATAGTTGTTATTTGTTAGTAATTATTTTAAGCTCATTGTCATCCCAAGTCCATAAGTACCACTCTACTTTCATTTGTTATATTTTACTTTTGATTACAATTTTAAGGATTTAGCGCACTTTAGCACCCTGAAGTTTCACTAGCTTTTAATTTTGTTACCTAGAAGTTTAAATTTACCCAAAATTATCCCAAAGTTTTATCCACTTTTAACTTTGCATACCTTTCGTTACATCACCATGAAACCAGTTAAAACGCATCGCCTGATTAGCGTGTGGTAATGTTTAGACTCTTATATCGCTGAACTGAAAAGAAACTCTCCCTAAATCTCTTTCTTCCTTCTTCAGATATTTAAAACTTAAATCCATTGATATTTAAAGAATTAATCCATTTCTGCATTTCCCCAAACGGAAATGACTGGAATTTGGTATTGAGCTATTGTGAAAGAAACCCCTAGTTCACAATCTTTACAGCCAATAATAGGGATTTTAATCATTTTACCCTCTCACCCTCTCCGTTAAGTTGATAGGGTAAACTTCATCCTTAAAACTGTTGCTAGATATTTATTTTGCAAATTTAAACTTCAGGGTATATATGCTAAAAATCAGTGAAACATGAGGGCACTGGTGTGCAACTAACCCTAATTTGAATTTTGATTATATTTTAAGTTAACAACATCCAGACGAATTGATTTTTTATTACTTCTTGATGTAGAGCATCCTGAAATCACTTCTTAGTTTTGCACTCGCATAACTCGCTTGTTTGCATTATGTGCTCCTTAGTCACTGCATATAAAGAATTAAAGTTAGTCATGTATTTAGTGGTCATAGACACTTCGCCTGCGTGTTAACGTACACTAACCAGAGTTGAAACTCGAAATAGAAACTAGATGCATTTTATATTTTGAAAGGCAATACTGAAATGAATGCCCATTTTAATCAGAAAGCTCATGTCCTAGCTGTCCTTCATGTTCTGTTCGATTACTTGTACATTGTGCTTTATTTTTGTTTTTTTAGAATTTTTATCTTGAAATAATATAATACTCTGATGCATTGTTATGTCGCAGACATGGAGGCCCGTTTCATGAAACATCTCATACCATCAACTCATACAATTTTAGCAAAGAGATGGCGCTTGAGCAATAACATATCCAGTGAATCATTAGGATTTCCATTATTCCAAAGAAGAGCTAATAAGAAGTTGGCCTTTTCTTGTATCATTCCACTATCAAAAAGATCCATGTATCAAGGTAATATGGCGGCCATAGTTGCAGTTTTACTTTATTTTCAAATAATGAGAACATTTTTTTCTTCCCTATAGTAGTAATTTGTGATTTATCAATGTAATTAGTACAATGGCTGTTAAATTACAATAAGCTTCTAACCTGTAGCTAGTTTAGTGTTGTGCACTTATTATAGCATCATTAAATTGTGGGGAAACCTTAATCTGAATATGCTGTTTCAAATCGCATAAGCATGTAAAGTTTATGGTCCATTGTAGCTCGAACACGGTCACACTAAATTATTTGACCTAATGGTTGTTGATTGTTAATGGATAGCCTGCATATGTGGCCATGGAAAACATGAGCTGAAAATTTTGCTTTTGTTTATTATTTGTGGTTTTTCAACTTTCTATATGTTGGACATTTGGAATATGCTGCTGTAAGCTTGGACAATTTCTTGAACCTTTTGTTGGTTAAATGATTCTGCTAAAATTTTAAATGATTAATTTAAGAAGTTATGCAGGAGCTGTAAGGTTCATTATTCACATGGTAATCACGCATTCTTGTTTGTTCACAATCACTATTTATATGTCGCAGATTTTCAGGGCTTTATGAAGCCTTCGCGTCTTTTGCCAGCAGAGGAAGCAAATACATGCACGGAGTACATATCTGATGAGATATTTTCTTCACTGGAATTGGATAAGTCTACCTCATTTTATTTGGCAGAATTTAGAACAAGCAAAGAGTTTGGCTCTTGTTTGAGAGATCTAAATGCTGCAATTCTTCTTAGCCTCATAAATTCTAATGGTGATGCCATACTTCAGAGAATATCTGCAGTTTCATCGCAAAATTTGGATCATGAGAACAACACAAGTGAAAGTATCCACTTCCAAAGAGGTTCAGTAGATATAGTCACATTCAAGGGACCAAAACTAGGAAAAATTGAGTCACTTTGGATCGGCCTTGAATCAGGTGAATCTTGAAGACGTTAGAGAAGCATGTTTGCATTTAATTTTTTTCAAATTCCGACTCAGAATTTTTGTTTTGATTCATAAGCTATTATGGGAAATTTGACTTAATAAGGTTTTGATTAGACCATTGAACTTAAAAATTCCCATCATGAGCAGATCTATATAAGTTCACGAGTACTAAAAATAGTAAAAACTAATTTTTGTTGAGGTTTCTTATTTTATCTAGCAAACAAGGTGTCAGAATATGAAATTATAACCCTCAACTCTCACCGTAGCTTCGGATTTGGTGCTGTGGAGGGAAATTAAAGATGAGGAATATTTTTTTTATTGGTTAGATCTGTATGGTATTAGAGAAGGCAGCTCTATAAAACTCTATGATGATTTGTGATTCATAGCTGAAATAAGTTGGTAGGATCAATTTGAATTGCTTACATCCAGGACCTAATTAGCTCCTTCCTGATAACATCCATTTGTTATCTAATGCATGCGTGTTTTTGATCTTTAGGTACCGAAATCAATTATGGACATTGTGAATTTCTATTTGGATAGCTAATCTTATAGCTTGCTCTGTAATCAGCTTTATCCTGTTCACGTCACTGCTGTTCTTTGCTAATAACACTGCATTATATTGATGCATCAAGTGTCAATAAATTGATGTAACAATTCGCATGCTTTCCTTTTTGTGTTCAAGGTCAGGTTCATGGAGGTTAGATGGCATAACGTTCACAATTATCAACAGCCCCGAACCCTCAGAAGATGGCCAAATCAATGTCATCCAATATAAATTCGAATCAAACAACATACTTCTTGGTGAGGGGGGAGTATCTGTAGCCGAGCTCAGACCAATTCTTGTTACTGAATCTCCAACAGAAAGCTTTTCAACTTTCTTGAAGCACGTAAGCCTCTCATTATCAACTTCATCCTTGGATTATAGAAAACTATCTAACGAAGAAAGCATGAAGGAGTACTCCGACCTCAAATTCTCTTTGCTCTTCTATGACTTCATCCTATTCTTCACTGGCTCCTCGATCTTGTTAACCTTTTCTGATGAGAGATATGCTTACTCTTTCTTCGCTGGTGGAATTGTTGGTTTCTTGTATCTGTTACTATTGCAGAGATCAGTTGATGGGTTACCTATTGATGGTGAGTTAGAGGATTTTGCTCAGGGATTTGGTGGATTGAAGGGACCATTGTTTGGTATAGCATTGATCTTAGCTAGTAGCATTGTTGCAGTTAAGTATGGGATTGGAGGTTCATCTATGGCACTGAGTCCAGCAGAGCTGTTTATTGGTGCTGCAGGGTTTCTCACCTGCAAGATTGCAGTTGTGTTGGCTGCTTTTAAACCCATAAAGAGAAGTTTGAAGGAGTAAAAATGATGTAAATATAGCAGCCATCTGTATTTAACAAGATAACAAAGTTCAAACACTAGAAGGACATGAACAATTCATGTTTTCAGATCGAGAAAGAAACATAGACTGTATAAAGTTGAGACTGGGGGAAATGTGTACTTGATTCAAGCTTATTGTTACTATCGCCCGAGAAAGTATTGGTAACATATTGGTATTATTTAATTTTGAAATTAGTAATAAATTATGTATAAAAATAAAATTTCACAACTGTCTAAAAAAACATAAAATTCAATTTAAAATATCGAAATTTTAAAACTGAATAACTTCCGTAAAAATTTTAATTTCAATATTTTAAAAACTAAAATTTCAAATTAATATCAGAATTTTCAAAAATAAAGCTCTGTGAATAAAACTTAGGAAATATTTAAAAAATAAAAACACAAAAAATTTAAATTGATTTCGTTACATCATTTGGTAATTTAATTTTTTCAAATTCTGATATTATTTAACTAAAAAATAGTATGAAATTTAGTAACATAAATTTGGCAGTATGAAATTTATTGAAAGTTTGGTAAGTAAAAAAATTTACGTTCAATAATATTTACAAAATCCCAAAATTTCAAATTAATATAAAAAATTTAAAAAATAAAAATTTGTGAATAAACTAATTTTTAAGAAATATTTAAAATTTAAAACACGAAAATTTCAAATTAGTTTGGCAGCATTAATTTGGTAATATGAAAATTTTCAAATTTTGGTATTATTTAGACTCAAAATAGTATTAACTTTGGTATAAAAATAAATTTTAAAAATATTTAAAATTCAAAAATACAAAATTAAACTAATATCAAAAAATTAATTTCATAATTTTTGTTTTAGAAAATGTTTGGAATTAATTTATTTTCAAATTGGTATTAAATTGAAAATAAGTTGAAAAATAGGAACACAATCTAAATTTTATAATTTTATTAAAGTTACATTTTTAAAATTAAAAATTTAATATGATAATTTTAAAATTCAATATCTTTTTATTCTAATATATTCAATAAATCAAGTCTAGAAATTAGGATCAAAATATACATCAAATTATGAATAGAACAACTATTCGATATAAAAATATTTAAAAAAAATCAAAAGAAAGATAAATATTCGATGGTTCTAGAATAGACACCTGAATTTATTTCTCCAAGCAAAATAAGTGTCATGGGTTGAAGATAAAAAGAATTAGAGATTTTTTTCCTGAATAAAAATTAAAACTAAAACTATTAGGTATAAAAATAATAATATATTCAAATAAAAATAAATATTCAACAGTAGTAGAAGAATTACATAGATTTATTTTCTGCAAGCAAAAAAGCATTGTGGGTTGAAGGTAACAAATCGAAAGTTTATTCCTTGGAGTACTTTTTTCCAAGAAGAATTAAAACCACAACTGTTATGTATAAAAAAATTAATTAAAAATATTAAAAAAACTATTTAAAGGTCATAGAATAAATACCTAAAATTTTTTCTCCAAGCAAAAGTGTTGCGAGTTGTAGATTAAAAATAAAAAAAAATTCTAGATTAATTGAAACCGAAAAAAGAAAATTTCGTTTAGGAAGAAACGGCTCAAAGAGATTCGGGATTTGATATTATTTGTAATTAGAATTAGTTACAAAAGATATAGTTGTAGGATTTGTGGAAGCACGCACTAAACACTAGAGGGGGTGAATAGTGTTATTTAAAATTTTACAAGATGAATTATAACTTGCAAGAACAATGAGCAACAATCTTAGAAAATAAACAATCACAAACAAGAGGTTTTATACATCCAGTCCCCAAGCAAATCCCGCTTAAGATTTTTACTATGATTTTGAACATAATTACAAAATCAAACCTGACCAATTTGCAAGTCCCTGCAAATTACAACATCAATCTCTACACCAAGATCTTCTCTCAAACCCGAGAGAAACCTTCTTTGAAGAAATGTATAAATCCCTATAAGCCATGATGTGAATGTGAAGTGCAACAGTGACTTAGAAATTTAAACTCTTTGAAAAATTGTCTAAACAATTTCTAGTAATGATGGAGAACAAAGGTAATCTCAGAATTTTCTTTTCTTGACAATTTGAATGAGAATTTGTATCAAGAGAGAATAAATTTGATCAAAGTTCGAATCTTGTATGTACTAATGTCACTCATAAAATTTTGATGTTCTGATCTATTTATAGCATTATAAATATTCAAAATTTAAACCAAATTAACGTTTACAAATAGCTATAAATGATCACTACTTCAAATTCAAAACAGTTAGAAAAACTATCTTTGTAGTCGACTACAAGGCTTAGTAGTTGACTACATTGAGTCTATTTAGATTCTGTGAAGTCAAGAAACAGGTTAGTAGTTGACTACTAAAGGTATTAGTTGACTATATTGTAAAACTTAAGTTTTTGTAAGTTGAAGCTGAGAATGAGTAGTCGATGTTAGATCTAATATTTGAGATCTAAATCTTAAAGCCATGATTAATTCAAAGAGATTAACAAGAATCAAAAGGTGCGGAAGCATATACATGAATCCATTGAGAAAAACCTGATTAGGGTTTTGATGATCTTCTAACCTTAGAGCTTCTCCCTGATGGATCTCTTTAGATAGGGATAAGAGAATGAGAGTGGCTAACCCTAGATTAGGGACCATAACTCCATATATATAGGTGTTGTACATTTGTAATTTGGCCCCTCATTAAATTATAATTACAACCTGATATCTGTACATATAACCCCATGATTTATTTAAATACCCATTAACACAAATTGATTGATCACTTTAAGTGGGTTATCCTTAAAGATAGCAATACACATAGATTAATCATATGTGCCCACAAATAGATTTAATTAGATTTAAATCCAACAATCTCCCACTTGGGCACCATATGATTCCTTAAATTGTGTATAACCTTATGAGCTCAAAATTGCTATCACTGAAAAGGTATTTCTGAACAATCTCGTCCATTGACTATATCAATATAGGATTAAAGCGGTCTTCGTCATATTTATCGTGACTCGACCCATCAATGGTCACATATACCAATATAATCAAACGATATAGATCAATTATAGATGTGCAGCATGAAAATTACATGCAATGTGATCAGTACATGTCTATTTTCAACTGGTCCTACTTTAGTGAGGTCAAAACCAAACATAATGTAACAGTGTGTCTTAACTGAATACTTTATTCTGATCAGACAATACAACCAAACATAAAGCATCAAAAATTACAAACTCCCACTAAATCATGATATCCTCTAATATCACCACACGAGCGGTGTGCTCATAAAAGACCTTAGGTGGCAATTCCTTAGTAAGAGGATCTGCTATTATGGAGTTTGTCCTAATGTGCTCTATGGATATTGTTTGTGGTGAAAGTTGATATCTTCATTGCTGAATCCGTTACACGTTTATCGATTACAGATTCAAAGTAAAATTAGTCTTTTTATAAGACTTTCGTACACAATAAAAATAAGAAAACTACAACTCTCTTCAAACAAATGCAACGGGTGTTTATCGCCCACTGCTTGCGTGAGATCTTGGCCTGTGACGGGGACGTTGATATCCGTGGACCACCAAATGATCAGATCAGATTCGAAGCTTCATTGATTCGCGAAGGAATCAAGAAATCAAAGCACTTATCTCGGCGACAGCGAGATAATTGCTCTTCTTAAGATCACCGCAACGGGGTAATCTTAAGGGACGAACACGGGAATTGCAGATCTGACGAGCTCCTCTTCTTTATGCTGACGAACTCGATCCGATCTCTCCTCCTCCTTTCTGAAATTCGTGGCTTTTCAGTCCTTAATTCATTATTGATTTCATTATAACTTTAGTCGTTTACAAAGAATTCGAGTAATAAAAATAAAAGAATTACAACTCTCTCAAAAATAACACAAGATCCGTTTATCGTCTCTTGCTCGCGTGGGTTTTTGGCCGGTGACGGGGATGTCAATATCCGTGGACCACCTGACGATCAGATCAGATCCGAAGCTTCATCGATTCGCGAAGGAATCAAGAAGCCGAAGCGCTTATCTTGGCGACAGCGAGATAATTGCTCTTTTTAAGATCACCGTAACGGGATAATCTTAAGGGACGAACACGGGAACTGCAGATCTGACAAACTCTTCTTTCCTGCGCCGAAGAACTTGATCAATCTCCTCCTCTCTTCTGAAATTCATCCACCTTTAGTCTTCAGTCCAACAGGGCTTCGCCAACGCTCGAGAATTCCAGATCCTGAAAAAATAAAGGCCCGGGGGCTATATTTATAGGCTTCAGGACCTCTATTTTTGGATAAGAATGGTTGATTCCCTCTTATCTTTAGTTGAAACCACTTAACCATATTATCAGATCAGTTGGAGTAAATCTAGGCGGTTAACAATCGAAAAACCGCCGAAAACAACCAAAATCAGCATTTTCGTGTTGCAGACACTTGTGAGTGTCTCGGTGTCTTAGCCAAGCCAAGACACTTATAAGTGTCTCGGCCAAGCCAAGACACCACGGGGTGTCTCGGTTTGGCTTTTTCTGGTTTTGGCGTGTCGAGTTTGTTTCCTCGTAAATTCGTTATCCGGACTCAGAATTACGTGGTTCAAGATTCATTGGAATGTTGACGAGGAGATCTACAGGCTCCCATGATTGAATCATATGTGGAGTAAATAGGACACGAGGGGTGCTCCGCCTTTCATAAATGACGCGGGGCTTCCGATCAGCTCTTATTTCCGTTATTCCAAAGTTCCGTTGCTTTGTATGATTCGTCGACTCACTTTGTGCATTTATCGCCGTTGATTAAGTTTCTGTGACTCGGATAGTAACGTTCGTCATCTTCTCTTGCTTTGATTTGTGTGTGAGGGCCCGTAGGTAATTTTAGACGCCTACAGATACCCCTCCAAAGTGTTTCAGCCTCATTCTTTTATAGAAGAGGCTAGAATACTTTGGATGTGATCGGTCTAACCTTTAGTTGGTATAAAAGGACCTATAGTTAGCTTTGATTCTTGACTCCTTCGATTTTCAGTCTATTTTGATGAATAGCTGAAGTTCTTTCGGCGTTGCGTTTATTGTCTGGCCGTCGTCGAAGTTTCGAATAAAAAACTGGTGAGTTGATTTTGGCTCGTATCGTTG